GTCTAGGGTCTAATTGTACCAATCTATAAAACCACAGCAACCAAGAGCGAAGAAACAGAATATTTCGCTTCGTAAGCGGAGTTCGAAAGTGCAACTGCGGGCTGACACACTCGAGTGGACGCGTTCGCTCTGTGTATCGCTGATAGACCCTAACTTAACACTGCTCTGGCAGCAGTTGGAAGATGAGCATGAATCTGCTGCCAATGAAGTGCTCCAAGGGACCGTTTTGGGGCAGCATCACACTTGGTCATCGGCCAATCGCGCCGTATACATTGAACGTCGACGAGCTCACCACATACCTACCTCGGTCCCGATTTCACCCGAAGGCCAGACAGGCAATACCATATGTTCCATTTATAATATCACTGTACACATCTAGCAGGACGGAGGGCGGCGTAAGTGGGGGAGCAAGTGCAACGACGCATGCGGAGTTTTAAATCACGTCTATAAACGTAGAATCTAGTCTGTAAGGGGGGTCCAACCTCCCTTCCAGATTTCGAGTCTGTAAACGCAGCTGTTTAGACCGAAACAGTGGTAAGTAAGATCTGCCGTGATGCCGTGTTCGATTTATTCTGAAATCTAGTCTACAAAGCTCTGTAGACGGCTGTGGAAAGGCATCCAGTATCTTGTTTTATAATGTTCCAAATACTCGAACGCCGCCCGGACATTCGGGTCTCTCGGTCCGTGATCCGCATGCTATGTTTGGAACGCTTCGTTGTTGCCGCCGGTTTGACCGGCAATTGCCATACTTAGAGCCGTGTTACGTAACGGTGCTCTACCCAGGGAGGGGCAAACGACCAGTTCACCGTCTCTGCCACCGACGACGCCGACCGCTACGACGACCGCGGCGTTCGCTGCGACGATGAGCGACGAAGGATACCCAGCTTCCAACTGGGAGCATACCGACAGCGACCACCCTTCCTCCCACCAGAACCATGCCTACAACGGCTCGCCCTACTTTCCTCGGGAGTCGCTCGATGTACCTGGAGTACCGCTCACCCCGACAAAGTCTGCGTCACCGCCGCGCTCGAGCGTAGAGTCGCCTACACGACTGAACCACATGCGATGGCGCGACAGCGTGCCGCAGCCTGCGCACTCATCGTCCGCCTTCTCGCCCTCCGAAGATGGCATACTCGATACTAGTTTCGACGAGAATGTGCTCAGGGCACTGTGTAATCTAGATGTACGTACTCGGATGCCATGACATATATTATACGTAATAACACCGACCTGTGGCCTTTCTAGTGTGGCGTGCCGTTGATGTTGGATCGAATAAAACAGAGCACCGCTTCCTGCAAGGTAGGCCAGACCTCCTGACATGACTTCACCTCCAACATGACATTGTTTGTAGGAAGTCGCGACATTCCTGAGGAAGCGTATGGAGATGGAGGCGGATTACGGCCGTAATCTGCAGAAACTGGCACGCAGCACGGTAGAGATGTATGGGCAGCACGACGCTAAGGCTGGGTGCGTGCCTCTTCCTCTTCGACTCTGCTCTCTAAGCTTAACAAAGCGCAGCTCCTTTATGTTAGCTTGGAAGCAGACCTTGCAATTACACGAGAATGTCGCAGCCAGTCATATCAAAATGGCTACAATGTTGAAGGAGCAGATCGACGAGTTGAACAAAGTGATAGATAATTCTGAGCGTGAGAGAAAGCAGGTCAGCTCCGTCTACCCGAACTGATTCAGTGCGAGAATCTCAACTTCGTTCAGACAAAGGACCTCGCTGGTCGATACGAGCGTGCTTTGCAAGATGCCGAGTCTGCAACTGAGAAGAGCAAGAGCCGGGTGGAGGCCACCGCAGAGGAGCTCGAGCGCGTGCTTATTCAGAAAGAGGGTGAATCACTACGTGATACGGGTGTGCAGGGTCGTTCACCTGGTGGTGGTCATCGCACGCGAGTCATCGGCAAGGCCGTGGCAAAAGGCGGAATGTTGCTGAAGGGCAAGAATCCGGGAAATGTAAGTGGGTGTCGGAACTAGACAGCTGCCTTCGCTCACGGTGTGCACAGATACAGCGACAAGCAGATGACATCAGACAGCGCATGTCTGCCGCTTCTGATCAGTATCGTAAGAACATGACCGACACGCAGGCGATCCGTCAGGAGTATTTCAACTTCCAGCTGCCTCGCATTTTACGAGTAAGTTTCTCTTATTCAAGGCTGGATGGTCACTTACTTCCTCAGGCTTTACAATCCTGTTTGAACGACGTCGACCTGGGGATACAATACCACATGATACGGTATTCATTCCTTTTCGAGTCAACTGTACTTGGAGATGGGACAACATTGGCACCTCTCAATCCTGAAGGTTTGTAGCCCGTGGTCAATACTAAAGACACGGTCATCTCACACATTCCACAGAAGCTGGCCTCAAGGCAATAGCCGAGTCGATAGACAACCGAGGCGACTTTAAGACCTACATGCAAAACTACGCAGTCGCCCACAACGGCTCTAATTGGCGTGGTCCTCGGCGCGATGGACCGAGGGATGAGGGCTACGTATGTTTCCAACTTTCAAACGCAACAGATAATTAACGAGTTTAACTCAGCTCCCGCCAATAGCACCCTTGATTCAGCAGATGAATTCTCCGAACACATCCGTCTCGCATGTTCAGGACAAGGGCCGTCCGTCGTTTGGCGTCGACTTGGCAGAACAGCTCCTTCGTGACGACTTAGAAGTGCCACCGATTATGGTCAAGTGCTGCGAAGCGATCGAGAAGTATGGTCTCCACGCTCAGGGTATATATCGTGTAGGCGGAACAATCACGAAGGTCAAGGAGCTGAGAGAGCGTCTTGATAAAGGTATGTTCCGTCCGTCCGATGTGAACAGTGCTGACTCCTCGGGCGTTTTTAGACATGGACACTGTGAACCTTGACGCAAACGAGTGGTCGTCGGAGATTAGCGTGGTTACAAGCGTGCTCAAGCAATGGCTGCGCGAGCTTCCGAACCCACTGATGACCTTCGAGCTCCACGAGGAGTTCCTGGAGGCGGCCCGTAAGTGACCGAGGCTGATAGGCATGCGGGACCGAGGGCTGACACAAGTGCCGTAGGCGTGGACAATGACCGGCTCCGTCATATTCGTCTGCACGAGCGGGTGAACGAGTTGCCTGATCCAAACTATGCAACCTTGAAGTACTTTATGGGGCACCTTCACAAGTGCGTCCATGATCTGTTTTGGCTTGTGTTCTGTGGATTGAATATGTTTGGTGGACAGGATCGCAGAATATGAGGCCGAGAACGCTATGTCGGTCCAAAACTTGGCTATCGTGTTCGGTCCCACACTATTTAAACAGGCCCAGCCGGGTGTGAACGGCAACATGACTGGGATGGCAGACGCGGGTTTGCAGAACAAGGCACGTTCCTCTGCTTTGTGCCGTTCTCCTATTGCCAACTGACCCTCGGTACAGGCCATCGAGACTATCCTAGACCACTACGCAGACATTTTCGTCGACGAAGGCGAAGAGGAGGAGCAAGGAGAGGAGCAGTGAGTTTCTGCGTGCGTGTGATATCTATTAACGTTATTACCATGACACCGGATGATACCCCCTTCTTGGCTGCCTATTACAAACCACAGATCCGCTTGTATCACTTATTTCAGTGTCCCGTGTTTATTCGAGCCGGTACTCGTCGGACGCTTGTATCACGCACCACCATTTGTTTTCAGTGTACTCTTGTCGTTATAATGTCTGCACGTCTGTCCGTGTGTGCCAATCAGGCGAATAGGATATACTAATAGAATAGCTATTGTTCCGCATCCGTGGAGTCGTTTCCCGCCAACGGACGCATCTCTCTCAGGCTCTGCAGCCGAACACTGTGGTCGGATGTTTGCTGTGGGAAATATCGGTATTAAGGCAGACAGCAGGAGAGCGAATTTCGTATTCGTACGCACTGATCTACTTGAGTCGTAAAAATCATGAAGGCTATTGCCAAAATGCTAGAAAGGTTAGATGAAATAGCATAATTCTGTGAATGGAGTCCTGTGTTCATCGCATTTAGCATGCTGCGAGTTGACAGCGAGAATCATACGCACTGACCTGTTCAGTGCACCCCTGCGGCGGGCACCCAACGCGCATCGTCTCTTCGCAGCCACTCGGTCCCTGAGGGAAAGATGATATGCCGCAGGGTGGGACAGCCGCGGGACCAGGAGTCGCAGAGGGTCTGCTCGTCGGAGACGTTTGAGTCGCCAACACCGTCAAGGGCCGTCGGCGAAAGGTCAAGCTGATTCAACTCCGGAAATGCACCAAGCACCGACGTCAGGCCGACAAGTAGGCTCTACAGAATAGGCAGCACACCAAAGCGCGCGCGCACGGCAAATAATCAGCAATCGTGGCCCGCGGGGCCCTAGCCCTGATGCCTCACGAGGGGAGGGCACGGGGGCTGGCAGAGGAGAGGTCACTCACGATGCCGGACATGGCGTGATGGAGCGTGTGCCGGAGCGCGAGCTTGACCTTGAGGTGCTCGACGCCGAACAAATGCCGGGAGATGTCCCGGAGGAGGAGGGGCGTGACGGACATGGAGCTGAGGTCGAGCCAGCGGATGCGCACGCTCGCGCACGCGATGCGCTCGAGGTCGCGCTCCGTGACGAACTCGTGCCCGACGAGGCTCAGCAGCTGCACGGGCCGCCCCGGCAGCACGCTCGCCGCCGTCGGCGCGCTCCCGCGGAACGTGCGCAGGCACGGCAGGTCCGCGGCCGACAGGTGCAGCACCTCGTAGCAGTCCGCGAGCCGCAGGTGCACGATCGATGGCGTCTCGGCGAGGAACCACTCGATGGGCGGCGTCGGCGTCGGGTGTGTCTTGGCGGGGAGCCCGCCGCGCCCGACGCCGCTTAGCGCGAAGAGCCGTAAGTGCGGGAAGGCACAGTCACTGAGGATCCCTCGTGAAGAAATCGAGCCACCTGACATGCCCAGCGCCAGCTCAAGCGACTCGAGACCGTGCAACATTCGTAGGGCGCGATTGAGGAGTTGGAGCACTGGCTCGATGTGCTGCATGTATGGCTCTCGGGGCCCCGATTCGGTCACCCAGCGCACTGCGACCTTTTTGGGGGACTCGGCGAGATGCGGATGCGTGAGGATCGTATGGCAGAAGGTGACAGTCTTGTGCGGGACGGGCGACGAACGTGGGACGTTCTCGGCGACGGCGATGTTGGTGTAGAGGGCGCGTTCGGCGACGGCATGGAACCTGCGGCAGACACGGACGACCTGCACAAGCACGTCGGCCTGCAGATTCTCGAACACGGTCGCGAGCATTTCGTTGGGCAACGGGCTCGCCATCTGGGACGTCACTAAAATAGAGGGTGAGGGGTGCAAGGCAAAGGAGAGAAGGAACTGCGGGTGCGTACCTTACAAGGAGTATCAGAGACGTAATTTACCCTGGCAAGGTGGCCGCTGAATAGCGGAGTGGTTGAACGGCGTATCAAAGCAATCTGGGTCAAGGCGATCCGAGAGCGATACGATGCTCGTGTAGACAACTGTATGATGCGGAAAAATAACGGGGCTACTGTGACGTTTCCTGGTGAGACTAGCGTTCGCTACCGGGCGGGGAATCTAGGCGTGGACGGACCTGGTGAGAAAAGCGAGGACTATTACCGTACGAACCCTCTGCCGTGCAGCGAGGAAACATATGTCTACTTCCGCGGTCTTGAGAACCCAGCAGCTGGAAAGAGCAAAATTGACGCAGGGTAGTTCTCAGCCATCTTCGAAAGACAGGGGTCAACCTGGATTCACCGTCGGTAGCATGCTACAAGCGAGACGCAGAATGGGCATACCAAAGATGATTGTCAAGCCTATCACGCGCGCACGAGATACATGAGTTCAGGAGAGAAAGGATGAAATTACGACACTAGCGTTACACTAATTATTAATACACCGAAGATACTCCGAGCCATAAATACACGAGACATGCAAGCTTAAGCACCGAAACCGTAGAGGGTGCGCCCTGACCGCTTGAGGGCGTAGACCACGTCGAGGGCGGTCACAGTCTTGCGTTTGGCATGCTCAGTGTATGTCACGGAGTCCCGGATAACCTGGAGGGGCAGCGCAAGTGAACAAGAGCCCAGAGAACGGAAGGACAAATGCGACGTACGTTCTCCAGGAAGATTTTGAGAACACCTCGTGTCTCCTCATAGATCAGACCAGAGATACGCTTGACACCGCCACGGCGAGCGAGACGGCGGATAGCCGGCTTTGTAATACCTAGTCGCAAATGAGCCACTACGCCATCCACCCCAAGCAGCCAGACCCACCCTGAATGTTATCACGGAGAATCTTGCGATGACGCTTAGCACCACCCTTTCCGAGACCCTAGAGCCAGAGATAGCTGTATAAGCCGCTACGGACGGACTACAATCTGGTATAGCCAATTACCTTGCCACCCTTGCCACGGCCAGACATGTTTACTTGGTTGAGTTGGTTGAAAAAGTTGACGACGAAGTTTGCAAAGTCTCTGGGAGACGAGCGGCGGAGGGCTGTGACGTTGGCGAGGAGGATAGAGCGTAAGGATAAGAGAGCGCTCCGCCTTATATACCGCTAGCGGAAGCGGGTCACGTGAATGCGTTGTTTATTGGCGTTCAACGCGCTACCACGTGGCGCCAGAACGCGTCGCGTTTAGCGTCTAAGTCTATATAAGCCTGACCGCCCCCGCTTACCTTCGTTTTCCTACCACCCGCCGCCACTACACTCGAGACTGAACACTTTACACTTTCTCATCCTCTCGACTATCAGCAATGGCTCGTACCAAGCAGACCGCCCGCAAGTCCACTGGTGGTAAGTGTCCTCTGCACTTGTCTCTCCTCGACGGGCCTGACATTCTTCTCTCAGGCAAGGCCCCTCGTAAGCAGCTCGCCGCCAAGTCTCGCAAGACTCAGGCACCGACCGCAACCGGTGGTGTCAAGAAGCCTCACCGCTTCCGCCCCGGTACCGTCGCCCTTCGTGAAATTCGTCGCTACCAGAAGTCGACCGAGCTGCTCATCCGCAAGCTCCCCTTCCAACGTCTTGTTCGTGAGATTGCCCAGGATTTCAAGGTGTGCACATTGTCTGTCTTAGGTATTACTCATTGCTCACAAGTCCCCTGCAGACGGACCTCCGCTTCCAATCATCGGCGGTCATGGCCCTCCAGGAAGCTGCCGAGGCGTATCTCGTCTCCCTCTTCGAGGACACCAACCTCGCCGCTATCCACGCCAAGCGTGTCACCATCCAACCAAAAGACCTTGCCCTTGCTCGCCGTCTCCGTGGAGAGCGTGCATGAGTTCTCGTCCATTTGTATTCCGGAGTTGGGGGCAACATAGACCACACACGCAGGGATGTGTTGTACTTGTTATTGTATCAATACTGCAGACTATTATAATTTCTCCTTTGACTTTCTATTGTTGTGTGCTGTGTAATCTGGCTGCTACAAGCCGGATAACTATGCTCAGGGGGAGTGAATGCTCACCGTTTATCCAGTCACTGCGACGTCCCCCCACCCAGATGCGAGCAGCCGACTGTATGAGCTGCCTCTGGAGAAAATCACGACCCAAGGCCGAACCAAGGCTCGCGCCTCCGCGCAAGCAACGCAACTCGGTGGTCGGCGGGCGTGCCAGCGTCCCTCGAGTGTAAAGTTGCGAGCGCAAGCCAGCAGTAGTCCTCGTGTCGAAAGTTGGTGATCTTCTCGATTTCGTCGTCTGGAGATAATTTGGACGAATGCCGTGCAAGGGAGGCCGCTGTCGAGATGGAGAGG